ATTTTACACAAAATATGATGCCTTATCTTTCTACCTATCCTAATTCGTCATTCGTATTTCCATTATTACTTATCACTATTTTGCATCTATAAAAATCATTTATTACTCTATTAGTAATTTTAACATTGCTCAGCCCCAATTTACAGTTACACTATTTGTAGTACTAAGATTAGATATGATGTCAAGATAATAACGCGTATAGAATTTATTGACGCGTAGGGCGTAATTATTGATGAACCGGTTAAATGACGAATGACGAATTAGGATAGGTAGAAAGATAAGGCATCATATTTTGTGTAAAATATGACAAAAAGTTTTAATTAAAAAAGAAAGATATCAATTTTTGGGTACCAATTAATTTTTGACATGATAAATGTTACGTTAGTTAACGTTTTAAAAGAAATGATAAATATAGGAAATAATTATGTAAATGATAACTTGGCATATACTGTATATATATATATTTCATAGATAAGAATAATTTATTATCAATAATAACCTCCATTCATTACTTGCGGTACGTACGTGCTCATTTAAATTATCTATTTATAGAAAATTGTATTGAGTTTACAGTATACCTGGTGATTGGTATGCAGGATCTTTTAAAACTTAAATTAAAATTTCGTACGTAAGCTTAGAGATCATCATTGTCAAAAAAATTTTATCTTCAGAAGATTGTGTTACATAAATAAGAAGGGGCAAGTCAGTTCTACTTTTTTCTATAAAATTCTACTTAGATATTGTATATCCAATATCCAATATCCAATATAACTATTATTAATTATTGTTAACTATTATTATTAACTGATGTTTCAACTCTGATGACTTGACTGACGAAGAAGTTTAAGTCATAAACAGTTAATACTATCTAAATGTATACTTCTTATATTTATCGTTATTACAGTGTTAAATGAATAAACTTTATATTTTTTTTAATCGTAACAGTAATACGTATTTAGAAAATTTATTTTACAATACTTTATTAGTGAATTCCGTTTAAATGCAAAAACTTGAATTTTTTTTACATCCACGGGATAGTATATATCTTTTTGTACACACGGAATAGTACGTAACTTTTTTATATCCACGGGATAGTATGAATTTAGATAATATTAACCGTATTCGATATCCGGGACCTAACTATAACTATAACTGAACTCTAATTATTAATAATATATATTTAAGGAATGAATGATCCTTTCAAATAGGCGTTTTTTCTACATAGTTTACGTGTCACTCAAATTATATACTAAATTATTACATTCCAAATCGATACCTAGGGCTAAAAAAATCATTCAATTACGTAAAAAAGTTGATCAACACAATTATCAATTTAGTATTTAGTTTAGGCGATAAATTTTACTACGTAAAGTTAGTACAATAATCTTATGTGCATTCATAACTTGAAAAAAGATAATCAGACGTTTTGCGAATGTTTTTTATGTTTTTGTAAAGTTTTTGATGTTTTTTGTAGTTTTTTTAATGTTTTTAATATGTTTTATATCAAATATTAAAAAAAATAAAATAAACACGTTGAGATAGAAAGAGAAAAGAAAGAAAAGAAAATATAACTATGAGATATTTATAATGATAAGATATAGATAACAGAAAATTGTCCAATAAGATATATAAATATATACAGAAATATAATAAAAAAAAAAAAAAGAAAAAGAGAATAAAAAAAAAAATAATAAAAATAAAACTAATGTCTATTGACACTCTTCAGATATGAAGTATGTCTGGTTTTTTTTTTTCCGAAAAAGAATTTCCAGAAATTTTTTATTGAGTATTTCGATAACTTTTTTAGACTGCAGAAGAGACCAGCAACTAAAGAAAAGTACCAAAAACTCAAAGTAGAGAAGAGTCATTAATTGAAAGTCCAGTGGACGAAACTTCTATATACATAAATAGAGAAAGGAAAAGAATTAATGAATTATTCATAATTTATTAGAATAAAAAAAAAAAAAAAGGAAAAAAATAATTACCTTAAGCTTGTCCTGAACGAGCAAATGCCCTAGGAAACGTAAGAAACGAAAGAGTGGCCAGTGAAGTAGGCAAACTGACCGTACGTTTAAGAGCCGATTGTAATTTCGGTGAGAATTCTCTAAATTATAGAAACATATAAAAGTAAGCAATAGGTACATAAAATACATATAAAATATAGAATATATATAATATAAAAAATATGAAATATTTACCGAATGCACAATGAGCAGCATTCTAACATCAAACAAACCAGGTAAACGTAACCAGTAGAGACCTCGGTTGTGTAATTGTAGATAACACATGACGTAAATTCGGTATAGGTATAGTCGTTAACCAAACGAAAAAATATAATTTAAGGAAGGAACCATGTTGACCATAAAATGAAGGTTTTCCTCGCATTTACTTAAGTTCCGCAACCCAAATAATCCGATACCCAACATTCTAATGGTTTTTATGAACCACGTATAAACAATATATATTTAGCTCTGACTATCCTGAAAGGTTGTGAGTAGTTCGTAAAAAAAAAAAAAAAGAGGTTTCTCGAGATACAGTATGTGTATGAGTAAATAATAAACGAATAAAAAACGTAACGATGTTTAAAACGAATTTGCGAAATTAATAACGGGTATTTAAAAAAAAACAAACGTCGAAAAAATTGTAAACGAAATAATTATAACAAAGGAAGGAATGTGTGCTGTTTCTGAGTCAAAGCGAAAACTTATAGTTGGAAAAAAAAAATCGAATTTGAAAAATTGAAGTACGATAGTGCCGCAAAAAAAAAAAAAAAAAGGAAAAAAAGAAATTATAAGCGTAAAAATTTTTGGCATATGGTAAAGTTCTTTTATTTTTTTTCATTAATTAAAATGAAAAACGAAAGGCATAGAAAAAAGGGGTAAAAAAGGTTTCGCGGTGATTCAGAAACCACACACATTAACGAAACGTCATTATAAAAAAAAAAAGGAGAAAATTCTGGTGTTTGATGTTTTTGAGGAGAATCCTAAAGAATCAAGTAGCTTGTTGGTATGCGTTTTTATAACAAAAAGAATGTATGATAATTGCGATATGTGATAAATGTCGGAAGATGTGTTCAAAATACCGTTGGGTCACATTGAATACAAACTTTGTACGTATAAGTTTACGTACTGTACGTATGTATGTACATACATGTACAGAAAAGGTTTGTATGATTTCTCCGACACCTAATTCCTACCTAATTTCTACCTGATTCTACCTTAATTCTACCTAATTCTACCTAATTCCGCCTAATTCCTACCAACACTAACTCTAAATAATGCCAGTCCTAATTCTAAATCAAGCCAAAATTATCTATCGGGGAAATGAGCGTCATTGGTGCAGGGAGTAAAATGTTATAAATGGAATCATTCAAAGTAATCTTACACTGAGTTAACCGAGTAAGTTGTCAATCCTGTCAAACTCCACACATAATCAGTGTCCAATGCGTCTGTCAAATAAATAAAAAAAAAATTGAGGACAATCACAATTCAAAATCCCATTATTCTTTGTAAAACGATGTTCTTTCACATTGATAAACAATAGAATTATATTGTTCCACATTTATCACTGACACTTAAATCCTTGCATTATGTGTGGAGTAGATAAATGTCTGCAAACAGTAAGTCAAGTTTTGCGGGGAAACAAAATTGATTGGTGCTCTAATCTAGGTGTACGATTTTAATCGACTTGTTCATTCATTCAATCGCAATGCTAACATTTTTTAAATATCACGATAACTTTGATATATATATATTATGTATTACTAATCTTTTTTTTAAAATATATTTAAAATAGTTTGATTAAAGGTGCATTGCAAACAAATTAGACAAATCGAAAATCAGTCTATATCGATATGTATGCATTATAGAGTATGCATATTTATATGCTTATAGGTACGTACGTACGTCTGTTTACGTCACTTCAAAAATCATAAAGAATTCTCCACAAAAGTACAAATAACTATTTTATATGGAATGCCCATACATGAATGAGTTATCATTCGTGTAATATCAAAAACAGGATCCATCCCATATTAGATAAAAATCACACCTCTTTATCCTGGTTACATTAACTACTGAATTAAACTTTGTTTATCGTTATATTTTTATTTTTTAAGTAATTCATGAGCGATGAAACTGTACGTGCGTACTTAAGTACAATAGGGTACTTACGTATGAATTACACTCGCTCTAAGTTGAGTACAAGAAAGGTACAAGAAGAGTACACAAATGCATTACAGTTTCAAAAAACCTATCGCAATGATACGATTTTTTTAATCGAATAACGTTATAACTTTCCAGTTCCCTGTTACTTTGTTATTCTTAATAAATGTATCACGAACTTACCCCGATGTTTACAATCAGCTACGCAAATATTTGTGATTTTGTCAGTCAAAGTTAAAAAAAAAAAAAATTAAATATTTTATTAAATATTATTAAATGTTATTGAATTGAAAATATATACATAAAAAACATCAAATTTGACATTACGTTACGTATTTTAAATTTCTCGTTATCTGAAAAAGTTAAGATGCATATATAAACTAAGTGCAAGTCAGGTTCCTATACCAGTTAAATGACGTAGTAAGTTTGACATCTCATAAAGAAATCCCTATTTTACATTATGATAAAGAACTTTGGCGTTTGTTTATTTTCTTGTTTGTTGCATATTTTATTAATTATAGAAAATTTACGTATGTGCGTACGTAAGTACGTAAGTACATAGCATACGTACTTACTTGCTTACGTATGTATAGTACGTACGTACGTACGTACTTGCGTAGAATACTTTGATACATTGTTCTTTAGCCAAACGTATCTTTAAAAAAAAAACGCGTCATATGATTTCAAGTTTGAATTTAGACAATGGGTATGATTGAATAATTCATCTACCTCTAAAATTCATTCGGATATCTCCGATATGACGAGTTTCCTTACATGGTGAAGAACATATGATCTCTAAAGCTACTACTGCAAACCCGTGCATTTAGTTAAAAGTCACATGACTTTTAAAATGGTCCACAAAACAATACTTCATTCCACGTTCTTATTCTTATATACAAATATTGGTTATCTTAGATTTTTTATTAAACTATTGTTCTCATTCTTACATTGTTACGTAAATAGTAAGTAATTCATGTTAATTTATTATACTGTATCATACCCGTGATATTAATAAATTATAGACCCAAGATACGTTTTAATTACGCCAAACTTAACAAATTAGTTTACAAATCACTTTTTTTGATTAACTGATTTAATCTTCTTTTTTCATTTAAAAAAAAAAAAAAAAAAAAAGATGGTATAGTATCATTTATGTAAATTTATGCAAAAACAAAAATAAAATTCAACATTAGGACAAACATGTTTTTCGCATTTCTTATTTCGCTTTCATTAATGCTGAAATTATTATCTCTCGATCAAACAAAGAAATAATATGAAGGGAAGATATAGGGCTGTAACTTCTCAGCCAAGCCTCTCAACTTCTTATTATGATTTCTA